AGCCAACCACAGGCAAATGCAAATCAAGGGTGAGTCGTCTTCAGAAGTGTCCACGGCATGGCAGACAAAGACAGACTTGGGGGCTGCCCCTGGCTGGAGGCACCCGCGTGACCACCAGGTGCGTGCGCCCTGGCGTCCTGGGTTCGGGCAGGACTGGGAAACTGGTGACATTCACGTAAAGTGCTGGGTCCGTGTTTTATTTCCTGGTTCCTTGAATCGAATGAGACAGCGTGACACCCTCAGGAGCAGCTGGGTGAAGGGTGTATGGGAAGTTTCTGTGCTTTGTCTCCTCCTTGGTTTTTCTATGAGTCTAATGTTTCAAAATAAAAGGTTAGAAGTTGGGGAAAGTGTTTTGTCTTAATTTTGGCAGCGTTTTTTTTCTTTTCTATTGGTGCATAAAATGTGAGAGTGAATTATGATCAGTGATGCTTTAGATTTGATGAAATCTTCTCTGTAGACTAAAAATCTCCCTTTTAAAAAATGTATTTATTTTTAGAGAGAGGGGAAGGGATGGAGAAAGAGAGGGAGAGAAACATCAATGTGTGGTTGCCTCTCATGCACCCCCTACTGGGGACCTGGCCCACAACCCAGGCCTGTGCCCTGACTGGGAATCGAACCAGCAACCCCTTGGTTCACAGGCCAGCACTCACTGCACTGAGCCACACCAGCCAGGGCTCAACCCCTTTTCTACACCCTTCCAAACCCACGTCCTTTCCTAGAGACAAGAATTGTTACAGTTACCCTGAATCATTTGAGGACCTTTTCTTTTAAATTTGCAAATACGTGTACCTATATTTTTTACCAAAATGGGCTTGTTTATACTCACTCGTTTATGACATGCTTTTTTCTCTTACCTGCATATTTTAGAATGCTTTCCCTCTCTGTTTGCATGGAGCCTCCTCCTTTTTTAACAGCTGCGTGGCACGCTGGGCGTAGGTGTCCAGAGCTCATGGGCCCGCTCTCCCGACGCGCGTCTGGGCCATTTGCACCGCGCTGCTGCTACTGCACACAGGGCGGCGGCAGCGAGCGGCCTTCGTGCACACGGGGGCTTTTCCTTTGGAGTAACTGAGTCCCTAAAGATGGAGGCGCAGGGTTGATGGACCTCTGCATTTTTAGCAACTGCCAGGTGGCCCTCCAAACGGGGCCGAACCCACTCACTGCAGCGCAGCCGCGAGAGTCAGTGCTGTGTCCCACCACCGTGTCCCACCACCTCGTGACGCTGAGGGGTCCCGATCCCCTGACAGTGGGGGTGGTCTCAGCAGAGAGTTCTCGGTCTGTGCATTCATCTCACCCCATTCAACCAACGCTGGCCCGCCTCAGCAGCCCCGAGGCACGAGTGATTTTGTTATTGTCATCGCTGCTGCAGGGGTAGGTGGGGAAGGGCGTTCCCAGGCTCCTGCTCCCTGTGGCCGGCTGTGCCTCCTGCGTCAGCTGGGGTCTCTCCACTGAGTGTCAGAATCCAAACAGGGCTGCCTGGGGCACAGAGAGAATGTGCTGGAAGGACGCGTGTGCGTGTGCGAGTGCACGTGCATGTGCATGTGTGTGTGTGTGGTGAAGAGATGGGAATTCACAGGCCGGAGTCAAGGACGAAGCAGGAGAGCTGGTCTAGTTCAGGCTGGGCACACACTGGGGGGCTGTGACCAGAGAGAGGGGAGAATGGCTGGGACGGGAAAAGAAACACTGTGTCCCCGAACCCTCCTGCCGTCTCCGCGGGGAGACAGGGCTCTTGTGGAGCGGGGCTTCCGAGCACGGACCCTGGGGTCCCTTCTGGACTCTGCCACCGGGGGACAGTCACTCCCTCCTTGAGCCTTTCTTCCCTCCTCTATGAACTGGGGAGGGGGGGGCGGATTGGCACGGGGGCGGGGTCTAGTCCCTGCCCTGCGCTGCCCCCCGCACCCTGCCCCCCGCCCCAAGCTCAGGAGGGGGCGCAGAGGGTGATGTGAGGGGCCACCCACCTGCAGGACTCCGGACTGCCTGCAGGCAACAGATGGTATTGTGTCAGTATCCATTGTGATGAGACATTCATGTATCTAACAAGGCGGCAGCCCGACAACCCTGGTGCCCGCCTGGCACCATGCAGAGTTACTACGGTATTGCCGGCTCCATTCCCGGTGCCGAGCTTTACATCCTCCTGGCCGTTCTGGGACGGCCCACTTACATTTCCTAATCCCTTCACCTTTTCCGCCCAGCCACCCAACCCCCTTCCTTCTGGCAGCCACCAGAATGTTCTCTTGGGTCTGAGTCTGTTTCTGTTCTGCATGGTGGTTTTTTCAAACCATAACTTTCTTAGGAAGAAACTTCCCTGCTCCCTCACCCCCGCCCTCCCCCAATCCCCAGGGGACTGTGGGCCTCGGCCTCCGTCCCGGAGCTCCACGGCGTGGCCTGCTGGGCCCTGGGCTGCTGCCCCTGTTTTCCCATGGGCTGAGACAGGCCCAGTTCCCCGGGTCCTGGGGTTTCTCCCCAGCCCTCTCCCCCCCCCCCCACCCCTCCATCGCAGGCCATCTGCCCCTGCACTGCCCTCTCTCAGCCCTTTTCATAGCGCCGTCCTTGGGGACAATGGTCTTCTGGAGCGTTTCAGAGCAGGCCTGGGCGAGGGCAGGGGCACCCCAGTGCTGCCCAGGTGTTTAACCGAATGGGGTGCTCAGCGAGGCTGGCAGCTGAAAAAGTCCTGGAAGAGTTTTCCAGGGTGGGCCCCGTCTGTTCGCTCCCCACCCAGGTGGGCGGGTGAGCGTGCAGCCATCAGAAAGGATGGAAGAGAAAGGGGTGGGGGCGAGAGGCGAGGACGCCTTACTAAAAATACAGCCCATCTGCATGGTGTTAGCTGGTTTCCCCGGAAACCACTGGGAACCGAGTGCTCTGGCGGAGATGCGGGACCTGGGGGCCTGGGTGGGCACCGGCCTCCCTGCCCGGCCTCTCGGGACAGGGCTCTCCCAGGGAGCCCCACGGCTCTCGATCAGCCCTCCATGAGGCCGGGCGGACCAGCCGCGCCCAGCCCAGCCTCGGCACATCTCAACCCCAAAGCAGACTCTGGTGGCGACCCCCGGCCTTGAGGCAGCACCTGGGTATCACTTTGGAGAGCTGCTGCCTCGTGCCTCGGACGGGAGGGACGGTCTGGAGCTGCAGCCTGGGTCTCCCAGTGGCCCTGTGCCCCTGGGTCCCAGGCACCCCCCCGGGGCCCACCCCTCGGTCACTGGGCCTCCCACAGGGGGAAGCCAAAGCAGCAGGGGTGGGCAGGGGCAGGATATGGCGGGGGAGCGGGGTGCATCTATGGACCGACCACTAGTGGGATGGGCAGCCTTTGAGGCAGAAGGGAAAGTTGGAGGCTTCACACGTAAGAAAAGCTGAAAACAGAGTTGGGAAGGAAAAGCATGCGGGAGGGAGGGAGGGAGGGGCGGCCCCATCAGGTCAGGCACTGGGCTGGACCAGGAGTCCAAAGACCCCGTTTCCAGGCCTGGCCCCCTCTGGACCTGCCCGTGGTCCTCCCTTGGCCTTGGCTTCCTCATCTCACTGCCCATCGGGGCGAAATCAAACAAGCAGCACAAGAAAGCGTTTTTGGAGCCATGGCAGCCTGCGAGAGAGTAAGGGGTCGTTACCCATCTTCAACCAGATCGTCTTTTTTTTTTTTTTTAATGGCGTTTTTTCCTGATCTCAGATGGCAAGCTGTAGTTCTCCATCCTCCACCGGGATAATGCCTGTTTGTACTTCCCATCACTTGGGATCTGTATGTGTGAGCGTCGCCTTTTCAATCCAGCAGACACAGGCATTTCCCCATGCTACTCACTGTCTCCTATCAGTCCCGGTCCCACAGGCCCACAGTCTGTGCGTCTGATGTCCCATCTGCGGATACACGTAGCGTCTTCCGGTTTTTCTCTGCAGTATAAGTGGCACTGTGGTGGGCATCCGTACAGGTGTCATTAGCTGCCCTCTCTGGATTCCTTAAGGGATTCCTTCCAGGGAGAGGATGGCTGAGCCCAAGAGTGTGAGTCTTGTCAGTAGTTGCAGCTCGTCCTGCGGAGCTGCCCTCCGGAAACACGTGTCCGCACGCACGCACACACACGCCCGCAGCGCCCTCAGAAAATGCCAGCTTCGGTGCATCTCCGCCAGCTCTGCGCAGTTTGCCAGTTCCTTTGGCCAAAAAAAAAAAAAAAAGGGTTTTGCTTTCATCTAAATCTTTTCGACGTCTAGTGCGCTTTAATATTTTCTCATGTGCTTGTTCTGAGCGAAGCCGTCCTGAAATGCAGGGGAGGGGTGGTGGTGCCAGGCTCGGTGGGTTGTGGGGTCTCGGGACCCTCTCTGACTGCCCCTCCCCACCACTGGCTCCTCCAAACACACACGCAGGCGTGTATTTATACATGTATGTGCACCTATGATCCTCTCCTCCACTGAGGTTCAGAGGCCCGGGGTCTCCCAGGGCACCCACTAGGGCCCGGGGCCTACCTCTTGGTGTCTGTGGGTTGAGTGGCTGCCGTGTGTCACCATCCCCGAGGGTGGCATGTCATCACAGGCGCCCCCCGGCTTCAACATCATTCTGTCTGCTGCACTGCCAGGTCGTCGTGCCCCCCCCACCCCCTGCCTCTCTCAGGGCCACCTTCACCCAGGCCTGTCCTGCACGGCCCTCTGGACACCCTCTCAGCTCTGTGCCCCCCTGTGTCCCCCAGGACCCCACTGGCCACTTGGACCACAGGGGGGTAGGGGTTATCCTGTATTGCTTTTCTTTTTCTTTCCTGTTTTCCTTTTTTGAAACGTATTTTAACTTTGAAGGACAAATAACACACTGAGATTCCTGCGCCAAGCAGCGGAGTCCGGCGCCTTGCCCCCCCACCCCCACCCCGTGAAGCATTGGGATGGGCCCGCACGTGGGGACCCCGGGATGGAGCAGTTGGGGTGGTGCTGTTCTCCTTCCCCAGCCCGGGCGTCGGGCGCATGCTGGGAGGGTCGGAGCAAGGCCCTGGCGTCCCTGCTGCATCGGGCCGCAACCCTGGTCTTCACCCCCTCCCCAGGGCTCCTGCTCCACGACGTGACCATGGCCGGGCTGCAGGAGCTGCGATTCCCCGAGGAGAAGCCGCTGCTCCGGGGCCAGGACGCCACCGAGCTGGTGAGTCGCCCCCTCGCTGTCCTGGGGCGAAGGGCACCCCCTCGTGGCCAAGAAGAAAACTGCGTGTCTTCCCTCCCGTCTTGTCCCACTGACCCTCTGTATGGGGCGAGCCTCGCGCTAGGAATACTCAGGCCAGGAGCCCCCAACCCTTGGACCGTGGATTGCTACTGGTCCGTGGCCTGTTGGAACCGGGCCCCAAGGGAAGCTCGCCTGAGCTCTGCATCCTGACCCTCCTCCGCCCACCGCTGTCTGCGGAAAACCCGGTCCCTAGGGCCAAAAAGGCTGGGGACCGCTGACTCAGGCCACCCTGAGAAGCCTTGTCCCCGCCTTGGGAGCGTTCCTGGCCAGGCTGACTGGCCGCATGACCGCCACGCAGCCAACCTCGGTGGCTTTGTCTGCCTTTGAGGCTGGAAGGCTCCTTAGGAAAGTCACTCCCGCTGCAGTCACGAGAAAACCGAGGTCTTGGCCGAGGCCTCACTGCAATCACGGACTGGGGCTGAGCCCAGCCCCCGGGTCTGGGAGGCCCCGGGGCCCCAGGAGGGGGCCCGCTGGGCGCTGCGGTGGGCACCAGGGACCCTGTGCTCCCCACCCGAGGGGGCCTGGCCTGGCCTGCAGCTGCTCCTCCTTTTCCTGGCAAGCTCTGAGGTTTGAGGGCCTGGGTCGCCAGTGGGGGCCGTGGACAGAGGCACTTGAGGTTGTTGTTTTGCCCCCCAGGGCCCTCATCGGGGCTCTGGGGTCAGATCCCAGAGTGATTTCTACCCCGCACCTCCCGTGGTGGTGACGCCCCGCACCTTCCCCCACTGCGAGGCCCAGCGTGGGTCCACACCCATCGATTTCTGAGGCCCCCGGCCTGGGGCTTTTTGCTGGATGTGCCGTCCCAGAGCCCGCCCCACCTCCCCATTTACAGAGGGGGAGCCAGGAACCCAGCCCCTGACCCCGCGGCTGCCCTCCCCCAGCCTCCCACCGGAAGGAGGTGAGCCCAAGAACCACTGAGGGCCACGTGCTGGGACAGCGTGGCTGGCCAGGGCCCCACGAGGCTGCCGCCCCGCCCCCAAGAAGCGTACAGTCTAACCTTAAGGCAGAACCCGGAGTTAACTTACAAGTCCTGATTCCCGGAGGGTGCCCCCAGGAGCTCCCAGCAGACAGCTGGTGAGCTGCCCACTCTGCAGGCCGCTTGTTCTAATCCTCCTCCCTCCACCGTCTCTCGTCCGCGTGCTTGCGGGAGCCTCCCCACAGGCCCCGGGACTCTGCACACCCCTCTGCAAATGCCTCGTGTCACTCCTGCTTCCAGGTGGCCGGCGGCTGCCGCCTTGCTCAGTGATACAGCCACAGCCCTTCCGGGGCCCAGGGCAAGACCCCCGTCGCCCTCCACGCTCTCCCCTCCCCGCTGCTCACCTGCCTCCCGGGCCTTCTGCTCTTCCTGGCACAAGTGGACCCGGTCCCAGCGGTTCCTCATACCCGGGATACGCTAGCCCGGGACTTTTTAGGGCCAGCCCCTCATTTCAGGCAGCCTCTGCCCAAGTGCCCCTTCCTCAGAGAGGCCCCCTCTGAGCACCGCCTCCAACACCGACACCCCTCAAGGCTCTGTGCCTGGCCCCCGCGTTCACCTCTCCCGGGCCCTGCCTGACCCTGGGGGTTTCGTGCCCCAGCGCCTTCCTGCGCCCGGCACGGAGCCTTGCACACGGTGGAGGCTGCAGATGGGGCTGCAGCCCAGAGGGAGGCAAGCAGAGACCAGCCTTCTGGTGCGGGCGTGATGGGGCCCCTGGTGGCCCCCCGGGGACCCCTGCCCCCAGCACATGAGCAGAGGAGGAGGGGTTGGGGCGGGATGGGGGTGTTGCTGGCTGGTGAACAGGGTGTGCGCCTGTGGGTGGCACAGACAGCTCAGCGCACCTTGGCCGCACAGGTCCCGTGTCTGCGCCTTCCACCCCTCCCCTCAGCAGGGCACCCCAAGAGATGCCCCCTTCCCCTTCTCCGCCGGCCTGGCCCAGCCCTTCGCTGCCCCTCGGAGGACACGCCCCCTGTGACCACCAGCCTGGCTCCGCCTTCTTTCTGCTGCCTTTGGGGTCTCTCGCCTCATCCCCCACCCCCCGCCGCTGGACCTGGACGAGGGTTTGCATGAGATGCCCCCACCCTGCATGAGGGTCCCCAGCTCAGTTTCTGTCCTCTCTCTGCTCCGCACAAGTCCCGTGCTGGGGACCGGGTCACATCTGCTTTCTCCAAAGGCACATGAACGCCCTGCCCCCAGCCTCCCCCCCACAACCCCCTGGGTGTTCCCAGTGTGGCCTTGGCCGATTGCAGTGACCCCGGTGCAGCCCTGCCTCGCTCCTAGCGGCCGGCTGTCCCCTCCCCGGGCGGTTGCACCCACAGGCAGAGTCTCCTTTTCCCGCTGCAGCGTGTCTGTCCCTTTCACTTTTTATTCCGCAACCCGCCAGGGGCAGTAGCCCTTTGAGCCCAGTGAGGAGAGAATACTTCCACACATTTACCGCCCCCCCCAGCCCCCATTCCTCCCCCCGCCCTGGTCCCCCAGTGCAGTTCCTCCCTGGCCTCGGGGGTCTCTGGGTTGTCCTGTATCGTTCCTGCTGGTTCTTGGTTTGTGGTCCTGCCCCCCACCCCCCACCCCCCAGCACCCTGAGCGCACATGGCACCCCCTGACATTCTCAGCCTCATCCTTCGTGCTGATTCGTTTTTAACAAAACTGCCCCGTCCCTCCTCTGAGATGACTGAACCCTTGGGGTCTCGAGGACAAAAATGTCTCACGTCCCTTTCCCTGGCCCCCTCGAGGCTGGTCCTCCAGTGAGAGGGTCCACCCATAACCAACCATCTCCCGAAGCCGGGCTTTCGTCCCTGGGCGTGAGACCCCCTAGTGCCATCAGATTGTCTCCACAACCCTCTCCACGCCCCCCAACCAGGGGCAGTGGCTTGCTGGTGCTCATTCTTTTCCCTCCCACTGCCGTGAAGTGAGGTCGTCTTCCTTGTCGCACGTGTTGGTTTAGTAGAAGCTCGTGGCACACCGTGGCATAGGGTCCCGTGCAGGAGTGCCCACTACCCAGGACAGAACCACAGCCCACGCCACGCTTCTCCTTTAAAGTGATAACACGGACTCTACACTGGATCCCAGCCAAAGGGCCGAGAAGCGATCCGCACTTCTCCTTTGATCCCCACGGACCTTGAGCAGCTCAGCCTCACAGCTCAGAGCGGAGAGGTTCCTGGCAACTCCGCTCTTTCTGGGCATGTGCTGACCATCCCCCTCCCCCGAGGTTTCCTTCCCCAAATACGACCCAGAGAGGGTGCAGCGACTGCACCCACGGGATGGAGTCCCCACTCCTCCGCTCCGCACGCCTGCCGCCTTGTGAATAGCGGGTTCTTCTGAGCCACGGTCCCCACGTCCTCGGGGTCAGACCTGTCCATCCGGGTTTCTGTGCCAGGCTTTAGGCGGACGGCAGAGCCGGGCGTGGTCCCAGCGGGAGCAGCGGGCGCCAGTCACAGACACACGGGCCGGCCTGAGTGAGCCCGGAAGCAGGGGGCCTGGTGTTCCAACAGTGCGAGGCAGACGGGTGTATGCTGGGGCCTCAGCCTCCCGGTCCCTAAAGTGGGGGTGGAGGTCATGGCCCTGCTGCCCCCTCCCGGGCCTCTGCCCTGGTGCCCTGATAGTCAGACCTCGGGGGCAGCAGGACAGAGTGGCCAACGGCGAGGGCTGGTGGCAGAGATGCCGCCCCGCGGCGGCCCTGTGTGTGACTCAGCCTCTCGGAGCCTCGCCCCACTCTCCTGTCAATGGAAATTTCACGTTCCACGTGAATCGGGAAAGTGATGTGAGTGGCTGTGCCCGGGCTCACCCGCCAGGCACCTGCTAGCCCGGCGCCTGGCACTCGGGAAGCCCTGGATCACTGGCGTCCACACTGAGATGAATGGGCCACGCCCCTGTGGACACCCTGGCCAGCCGGCCTCACGCCCACGCCTGTGTTTGCTCCCTCAGGAGACCTCCGACCCCTTCCTCTTGGCCGTGGACACAGACTGGAAGGTAGGTCTCAGCTCACAGCCTCCCCGAGGTGGGGAGATGGGGACCGAAATCGGGCGGGCCCCTCACCCACCCAGCCTGGTCCCAGCGGAGGGCCACACCCTTCCATGTGCCTGGAGCATCGGGGGCTCGCCACCTCGCCTGCCGGCAGCCTCTGGGACCACCTTCACTGCGTGCTGTGGCTCCGCTTGCCGCCTGCCCGGTGGGGAGGTGCCCCCTCCCTCCCTGAGCAGGATGGGGGAAGGGAGGCCTGGGGGAGTGAGGATGGAGACGGTAGGGAGGCATGCTGTCATCTGAATCAGCATTTTCCTCCAATGATAGCCAGGCTGCTGCTCCAAAATAGCTCCTGTTTCCATGGCAGCTGTTGCCGGGACAACCATGTCCTCTTTAGTGTGATGCCAGCTTCCTTGTGAAAACTGAAATTGTTCTTTGTTTTTATTCCTTCTCACAATGATCCCTCTCCCTCGGCCAGCCATCTCTTCCCTCTGAGTTTGTAGCGGCCCGTTATCTCTGGGTCTCTGAAAAGGTCCAGCGGCAGACCCGGTGGGAGCCTCACCGGTGTCAGGGTGCCGCCGACCACCGCAGCATGCTGGGCAAACTCAGACCCTGTGGGACCTTCCTCCCGGCCCCACGGCCTGGGCTCTCACTGCGATCCGGGTCAGTCTCCGGGCCCTAGGACAGCCCCGGCCTCGTGGTCTGCACACAAGGGTGACGCAGGAGCTGGGCTGACAGGCTGGCTCCTCCCCCGGGCGGCCAGGAGGCTCTGCAGTGAGGATCCGGCCCTGGGTCACGAGCCCCTTCAAGGACGGGCAGTCCAGCTGCAAACACCGAGGGCTCCGGAGCTGGGAAGGACAGGGTGGGGCCTGGTGGGGAGGGACAAGCAGGAGCTCAAGGAGAGAGAGATGTGGCCGCCAGAGAGCCGGGCCCAGTGAGAGGTCAGCGCTGCAGGCCGCCGAGGAGTCCTCTTTGTCCTCCCTGCTCCAAAGGACTGCGGGCGTGTGGGGACTTCCTCCCCAGGAGGGGGCTGGCGACATAACATCCCAGAGCCACCAGCCCCTGCCTCAGTTTCCTCACCTGTACAGTGGGTGTCAGGGAGGTAAAATGAACGCTAAGGTGTGAGTGAGCAGCGTCAAGACTCCTGATCCTTTCTCGTGGGTTTGTGAGCACGATGTGTCATCCTTACAGCTGCCTGTGCCATAGGCGCTGCTGTTTGCCTGTTTACAGATGTGGAGCCTCAGAGAGGTTGACCGACTTGCCCAAGGTCGCACAGCAGAGACGTAGCCGAGCGATGGCTGGTGACTGGGTTTGGCCGGCAGGACCACAGCCTGCCCTGTTCGGCCATGACCGTGCAGACTCCAGGGAGGGGTCGGCAGTTCGGGAAGGCACATGGGTCGTCCCATTTCTTCCAGACGTGGGCAAGGCCTGGGCAGGTGTGGGGTCAGGTCGAGAGTGATTTGTGTGGCCTTTTCTCACTCTCAGAGCCGTCCCGTGTGGAAGTAACAGTTTCTGCTTACAGCTGAGGAGCCTGGGGCTCAGGAAGGTTGAGCTTTGCCTGAAGTTGCCCAGCCAGTGGGTGGGGAGCTGGGGCTTAGACTCAGGACTGTGGATTCGAAGCAGGTGCGCTGAGCAGAAAGGGGCCCGTGGCGTGGAGTGGGCAGTGTCCGAGGTCAGCTTCTCACCTGAGTCCAAGGGTGGGAAGGTCACTGAGAGGTCAGACATTGGACTGGGTGTGAGATTGGATGGGGACCACGGAGGAGCAGAGGTTTGGTGGCACAAAGAACGGAAAGGTCACTTCGAGAAACGTGTGGGAGGGTCACACAGGCCGCACCTTTGCAGCCTGCCTCTGGCTGAAGCCTCTTCCCGTGTCCAAGTGGCCGCAGGGAACAGGGAGAATGGCCGGGACACGAGGGGCTGGGCGACACCCCGTCCCACACCCTGGCTGCCCCAGGCAAGCGCAGGGCCCCACACCCCGCCCTGGCCTCCAGAGCCAGAGGTCAGCAATGGGGCAGGGAAGGTTCCCGGTGCCCCCCAGGCGCAGGACACGGCCAGGAATAGCCCACATGGCAGGTGTTGACCAGGTCACCGGGTACCCAGAGACAAGGAGGTGACCGCCTCCCCCCCACCGGAGCAGCCCGCCGTGTGCCGGGCTGTCCGTGCAGGCTGGGGCCAGCGGTGCGGTCCTGCACCAAAGAGATAGAATGGGGGCACGGGCGCCCAGCACCCTCCCTTCTCCCTGCCACTCCTTCCTCCCGCTGTCCTTGGGCTCTCTCCTCTGCCCCGTCCCTGGCCCATTTCCTCCCCTCCTCTGCTCTCCTGCGCTCCCCCTTCTCTGTTTTCCTGCCTGCGCGTCTCCAGCCAGCTCCCCACCCAAAGCCTTGTTTCCCTGGGGGACAGGGCATGGGCGGAGCCTGAGGGGGCTGGGGGGTCCTGCTCCACAGAGATCCGGGAGCCAGGCCCGTGCTGGGTGGGCCTGTGGGGGGTGGGCATGTCCCCCCACCTCCCTGGTGGCCTCCAGTCCCTGCAGCGGGGTGGTGCGGTGGGCAGAGCCAGCGCATGCCACACTCTACCTACTGCTGGTACCCCTGGCCCCAGAAACCCCCCTTCAGCACTGCGGACAGGTGGGGGGGGGGCGGGCAGGGGCGTGCTGGCAGGTGGGGCTGCCCTCAGGGAGACCCTGGGCTGGTGGGGAAGGAGCAGCTTCCTGGAGCAGGGTCATGACCCCGGTCGCCCCAGACAGCAGGGACCCCTCACACCCCTTCACCGCTGTGGTGCCAGCCTTCCTGATGTGGCTGCTGGGCTTGGGGCCGTCTCAGGCCCCTCCCTGCCCCCCAGGCTATGGGTCAAGGGCTGTGCAGTCCAGCGCAAGCCCCTGCCGCCCCCTGCCCTGCATTGGTGTGGGTGTCCTGAGAGGCTCCTGTGTACCTGACACAGGGCCCACCTGTGCACGTGGCCCGGTGTCCTGCGTCTGGACTCAGTGTGCAGCTAGCTGCAGCTGTCCGCGTGTGCTTGTGTAACGGGGGTGGTGGGATGCGGGGCCTGGGGGCCGCCAAGGATTGTGTGTTGCTGGGGGGGGGGGGAGTGGGGGTAACAGGAGCGGGGGCTGGGTGAGCGAGGCCCTCAGAAGCCAATTGGAGCCAGGTTTGTCTCCCGACAGCCAATCTGGAAGGCGGGGCTCGCAGCGAGCGAGTGGCTGCTCAGAAACCCCGCAGGGAGGAGGGACCGGCCTAGGGCGGGCAGGCCCCGCGTATAAACGGTCACGGGAGCGGCGCCCCATCACAGAGCCGCTGATTTCCCGCTGGAGCTGCCGCGGCCTCCAGACTCCGGTGACTCAGGCCTTTGTTTGCCCTTCCTTGTCGAGGCGTGTCGCCGCCCTCGGCAAGATGCCGGAGTGCTGGGATGGGGTGAGTGAGGATTGCGGGGCCGAGAGGTCGTCGGGGGTGGGGGAAGGAGCATCCCTCTGCCTCTGTCTGCGGTCCCCTCTGCCTTCGGTCGCCTCACTTTGCAAGTCCAGCAGGTTCTAGTCTCCTGGTGACCCTGGCCCGCGGCAGCGATTGGGGGTGAGCGGCCCGTGAGGGCCTGCGGGGGGCGGGGCGGGGGCGCTGAAATCTGCAGCGCAGGGGCTGGGCTGTGACTGAGCTGTAAGTCTGTGCGGACCGTGCGGACCTCCCGCGGACGTGTGCCCTTCGCTGGAACGTGCCTGGCGGGGGGCTGCCTCGCTCCCGTGACCACCTCTGCCCTGGCCAAGGCCGTGCTCCCTGCACGCTTCTGGGTGTCCGCGCGCGCAGGGGTCCGCGCTCCTGACCCCGCGGGTTGCGTGCGTTTGCGTGGCTGCACGGGAGCGCAAGTAGGGCAGCGTCTTCCTTTCTTAGGAGGTGCGTGCGGCCCCTCCGTGGTGCCCGGGGCACGGCGGGTGGGTCTGGGTCCGGGGGCTCACCAGGCCTTCAGGCAGGAGGCCCTGCAGAGGAGCGGACGCGGTGGGGTCTAATGCCTTATGTTGTAGGTGGGGGAAGGGGACGACGGGGCCCCAGGTGGGCTCCAGGGCGCGCGTTCCCGCCCCGGCAGCCGTGCCCAGGCCCCTGTTCTTCCCAGCAAGGGAGAGACAGGGGCACACCTAGTCCTCCATCCCCTAGCCGGGCTCGCCCTGCCGGGTCCGCAGGCTATGGGTGCCCTGCACCCAAGGCAACGACGTCAGCGCCTCCTCGCCTCCCTGGGTTCGCTGAAGGATTGATGCGGGGGCGACGGATGGAACCGCAGGAGCCCTTCCACCCCACCCCGCTCTGAAACCCAGCTTCGGGGGCCGCCGCCCTCAAGGTCAAGGGCGAGGGGGGATTGGTCGCCGCAGTGCCTCCGGCCGGGCGCCCACCGGGGGGCGGGAGATGGTGACGTCACCGGGAGCCAATGGGAGCACTCGGCCCGGGGGTTGGGGGCTCGGAGCCTACCTCCGCCGGCCTTGAGGCGCCCCGCGTGTGCAGCCCCTCGAGAGACGGGGACATCCGGCCTCTCATCCCGCTGACCTACGAGTCTGAGCTCCTGGGTGGGCAGGGGGTTCAGCCAAGGTTACCGGGCCCCGCGGGAGGGGCGCCCGGGCCGGTACGTGACCCTGGGGAGCTGAGCCTCAGTGGGACCGGCACTGCCGCTGAGTCCTGCTGCCCAGGGGAGGGATAGTGATGGGGCGGGCGCCCCACGGCTGGGAGAGGACAGACGCCCCCTTACTTACACCCACGCACCGCCTGGGTGTGAAAGGCTACCGTCCTGCGCCCCCCTTGTGCCTGGAAGGGGGAAAGGTGACCCGTGCCGCCGAGGAACTGCCCTTCCTGCCGCAGCAAGCGCACTGCAGCTCTAGTTAAAGGGGCACCCTCCTGCCCCCCGGCCCCGCCTCTGGAGCAGCGAGCCCGCCTCCTGCCCCGGCCCCGCCCTCTGGAGCCGTGGGGACGCAGCTGTGGAGAGGCCGCCTGCTGCGATGCGCCGGGGTGGAGCTCATTGATCTCCGCAGAAATGACCGCCTCCAGTGCGGTCCCCTGAGGTCTGCCCCTGGCCCGGCCTGCCGGGCCGTGCCCTCCCTGGGCTTGACCTTGGGCGAATGTGTCCCCTTTCCCAGCCTGAGCTGCTCCTCCCCGCCTTGGGTCGCTGTGGGGAGTGAATGAGAAGTCACGGGGAAAAGTGCGCAGCCCCTGGTCAGGGGGCAGGAAGCGTCCCTTGTTTCAGTGGCCCTGAGGGGGGTGGGCCTGGGTGCCCCCCGAGGATGACAGGGTGTGTCTCACAGGACCCCACAGCAGAAGTGTGGCTCCCAGGGTGTGGTCTTTGGCTTTGGGGCTGGCACCACCAGACACAGGCCCAGACAGTGGTCCTCTGAGCCCAGACACACACAACTAGTCCCCAAGAAGCTGTCTCCTACCTCCCGAGTCTGTCCCTTTCCTGTCGGGGAAGGAACTTTGGTTCCAGGGCAGGTGTGGGCTTGAGGGGCTGAAGCGAACCAGCAGCAGCAGCAGCAGCAGCAGCAGCCCTGGAGGGTGGGACTCGGGCTGGGCTGGCAGAGCTTCCTAGCAAGACGGGACCCTGGAGGGCTGTGGCAGCTCACCCCACTGGCTCGTTTGCAAAAGGGACCAGAGCTTTCCGAGCGCATCAGTTCGCATTGTCCCTGTGCCGAACGCCCCTGGGTGGGGGGTGCTCTATCTGTTCCCTCCCCTCTGCCGGCCACTTGGAGTGGTGAGGATGGGACATCCCAGCCCCATGGGGCTGGTGGCTGCCCGCCAGCCCCTTTCCCCAGAAGAGCCAGGAGTGAGGGCTGCCCAGAGCGCCCAGCACGGTCTCTCCCCTCCAGGAGCATGACATTGAGACGCCCTACGGCCTTCTGCACGTGGTGATCCGGGGCTCCCCCAAGGGCAACCGCCCGGCCATCCTCACCTACCATGACGTGGGCCTCAACCGTAAGTGTGCCCCCGCCGCACCGGCCTTCCCCTGCCTCTAGCCTGCTCGAGCAGGGAGGCCTCCCCTCCCCCCGCCAGGGCCCCGTCGCCTAACCACTCCCAGCTGTGTCCTTGGTTTCCCCACTGGACCTCGAGGCTGACGCCTCTGCCTCCCCCGCCCTCCTGGAGCCAGGGCCCCCCTGCCCCTGCTCAGCGACAGGTGTGTCCTTGCAGACAAGCTGTGCTTCAACACCTTCTTCAACTCGGAGGACATGCAGGAGATCACCAAGCACTTCGTGGTGTGCCACGTGGACGCCCCCGGCCAGCAGGTGGGGGCGTCCCAGTTTCCTCAGGGGTAGGTACCCCGGAGCCCCCTCCAGCCTTCCCCAGCTCTGCACCCCAGGCCGCTCCTGGGCCTGACCCCCTGCTCTCCCGCAGGTACCAGTACCCCTCCATGGAGCAGCTGGCCGCCATGCTCCCCAGCGTGGTGCAGCACTTTGGGTGAGTCCCCACCTGCCCCTGCCTCTGCCCCCGGCTGGGGGCCCAGGGCCTCCCCCCGCCCTGCCACAGTCCCCAGGCTCTGGCTGAGGTCTGAGGGCCGTGGGTGGGGCCTGCTCGGATGACACATGAGGGAGAGGGCAGCGGCCCTGGCCCTGGAGTGACAGCCACGCTCTCCTCCAGGTTCAAGTACGTGATTGGCATCGGGGTGGGAGCTGGAGCCTACGTGCTGGCCAAGTTCGCAGTGAGTTCCCCCCACGCTGTGCACCCCCCACGCCCCCAGGGCTGGCCTTCCTGGGGCCGCTCTTCAGCCACGGGAACCTTCCTCTCCTCGTCTCTTCACTTAGAAAGGCCTTTTTTTCCTTTTTTGTCTCTAAGGAAGTGAACTGCTTTTGGAAAAGGTTACTTTTCCATCCATTTCCTCAAAAGATGATGAACTACAACTTAGCTTAACTATTACGTAAAGCCAAAATTTCCATTAGCAACAAACTATACAACGAATTGCTCTAGCCACGAAATAGGGATCATCCTAATCACTCATTCACTCATTAGGGTAGTATCTAAACAAGTCGTGTTTTTTTTTAAGATTTTATTTATTTATTTTTTAGAGAGGGAAGGGAGGGAGAAAGAGAGAGAGAAACATCAATGTGCGGTTGCTGGGGGCCGTGGCCTGAGACCCAGGCATGTGCCCTGACTGGGAATCGAACCTGCGATGCTTTGGTTCGCAGCCCGCGCTCAATCCACTGAGCTACGCCAGCCAGGGCTACAAATCGTGTTTAAAGCAAAGCCACACTTAGGTTCAGTTTGTGCAGTGTCATGAGAGTCCCATTTCCGAAAACATCACGTCGGGGAGGAGCCGCACGCTGTTCGTTCCTAAAAACGAAAAGTTAATTTTCAGGATTCCAATGATTTCTTTCTTCAAAAGAAATGACCAGAGATCTTCAACTCTAGCGTCCATTTCAGTGCTTAACGGTTTTGGTCCTGTAGACCGTGTCCTGGCACCTCAGCCTCCACGTGACATCTGTATGCCCCCGGACACGGGGAAACTGCTCAACGGAAAACCCCAATTCCTCTAACTACGTCTCCCCAAACCGGCTTTGACTCCCACATAATCAACATCACTAGGGCTTCCGTGTCTATAAAAAGCAAAGAAACAAAATGTTCTTTTTTTTTAAAGATTTTACTTATTTATTTTTAGGGAGGGGGAAGGGAGGGAGAGAGGGAGAGAAACATCAATGCATGGTTGCTTCTCGAGCGCCCCCTACTGGGGGACCTGGCCCACAACCCAGGCATGTGCCCTGACTGGGAATTGAACCCACAACCCTTTGGTTTGCAGGCCTGCCCTCAATCCACTGAGGCAGCACTCAGTCCACTGAGCCACACCACCCAGGACCAAAATGTTCTATTGAAGATGTTTAATCCTTAGTTTTACAAAAGCATCATCTCCAAAGACATATTAAAAGGGGTAAAAAACAGCAATATAGGCACAGATTCAAAATAAATCGAAGAATTTTGGGAGGTTTCAGTTGGACAGGATGAGCGGGGGCAGCTGGAAGAGGAGCCCACCCAGTTTCCCAGCTGTGGCCAGTTGGGCCCGCCTGTGAGACTGGGTCAGAATTCTACAGCCTGTTTAGTGGGTGGGTGGGGAGTTTGGGGCTTCCTGGGACCTGTCCTCCCCGCCCCTGACCCCCAAGCCCTGTCTTCCTGTCGCCACAGCTCATCTTCCCTGACCTGGTGGAGGGGCTGGTGCTGATGAACATCGACCCCAACGGCAAAGGCTGGATCGACTGGGCTGCCACCAAGGTGAGCGGGGTCCACCTGGCCGGGGGCAGGGGTGGGGGCGGGGAGAGGCAGCCCTCACACGGATGCCCCCTTGGCCTGCAGCTCTCCGGCCTGACCAGCACATTACCCGACACGGTGCTATCTCACCTCTTCAGCCAGGTGAGGGTGTGGGACCACGCTCCTAGGCGCCAGGACGGGTGGTCCTGGGGAACCTCAGCAGCTGCTGAAGGTCCTGGCTCTGCCCCTCCCAGGGATGCTGGGGGGGCGGGCGGGGGGGGGGGCTTCTGCTGCCTCGCAGCAGGGCAGAAGGAGGGCGGGGGGTTATGGGACATCGGTCCTGTTGCACTCTCCTCTGCTGGGACCGTGGCGCTGGAGCACCTGAAGGGCAGGTGGGGGGCTCCTCCCACTGCTCTGTGGAGCCTCTCTTCCCCACATTTGGGGGCGCTCCACCCACCTCCCTGCCAGGCGTGGCCAAAGGCTGCTCCGGCCGTGACACCTGCCCGCCCCCTCTGAGCCCGTGTCCCCTCCGCCCGGGCCCAGGAGGAGCTGATGAACAACTCGGAGCTGGTGCAGAGCTACCGGCAGCAGATCGGGAACGTGGTGAACCAGGCCAACCTGCAGCTGTTCTGGAACATGTACAACAGGTGCGGGGGCGGGGCTCCGCGGCACGCGGGGCTCCTTCTCGTGCGGACCCCTCGCCACAGCCACCCCTGAGAGAGACGGGCAGACACCCCACAAGGTCCCCAGGTTGCAGATGAGAAGACAGTTAAGCCTCTGAGCGGAGGCCCCTCTCGGCCGGGGTCACGCCCCGGGAAGGAGCAGGGCTCCAGACTGTGGTCCCGGGGCTCTTCCATTCCCTCTCCTCCCGGGGGCGTTGCTGGCGGGAGCAGTGGGGGTGCGGGCACATCCCCGAGCCCCACGATCCTGAACCTGACGTTAGTCCACGGGAGGAGGTTGGATAACGCTGATGGTTTTCAAGCTGTGTTCCTGAGCGCCCCTTTGGGGGGTTGCCCTGCAGGACAGTGGCCAGGCCCCCTATGCACCTGCCTGCCCTTCTCTTGCGCCCGCAAACACTGCCTAAGCGCCCGCTGTGTGCAGGGCGCTGGAGGGTCGGTGGGGAAGGAGCCCAAGTCCCACAGCCCAGGTGGTGCCCGTCCAGACAGCACTGGGGCGGGGGGCGGGGGCGGGGAGAGGCAAATCCGGGGACCCACGTGGTACGAGTTTCGGGGTAAGAAGAAGTCGTGCATGAGGGGGGCCCTGAAGGCCCCTGTTGACGCAGTGTGTGTTCTCACACCGCCCCCCCCCCGCCCCCACCCCGCCGTTTTACCAGCCAGGGCCTCCAGGGATGTTGGGCCTAATTGCCGCGGCAGGGGGAGGGGACAGGCGAGGGCTTGGGACACACCCCCACTCAGCCCTGGAATGACCGCCTCCGCCTCTCCCTGCAGCCGCAGAGACCTGGACATCAACCGGCCTGGAACGGTGCCTAATGCCAAGACTCTGCGGTGAGTGTCCCCTCGCCCCGTAGCCTGGCCCCGCCCCCCTCCAGCACCGCCGTCGCCGCCCAGGCCAGACAGCCCTCCCCTCTGTGCCTGCAGCTGCCCCGTGATGCTGGTGGTCGGGGACAACGCACCTGCGGAGGACGGGGTGGTGAGTGAGGCCTCGTGCTCCGGCTGGGGGTGGGGGTGGGGGTGGGAGTGGGGGCGTCGCGGGCCCCTGGCCAGCACCAGCTCCTCCGGGTGACCTCAGGGACAGGCCTGATGGCGGCCCCTCCTCCTACTGCCCCAGCACCTCGCCCAGTGTCACTGCCTGCCGCAACCCCGATCCTGCGGGCGAGGGAAGCCTGGGAACCTTCTCCCACCACCCGGCTTCAGGCCCGGAGACCAAGATCTGTCTTTTCTCTAAAACCTGATCCATTCATTATGAAGAAGGTGATTCCCCAGCACAACAGCGGTCCCCTTTGACCACTGTGTCTGGGAATCGTGTGTCCCCTCGCCTGGGAACTCTGGGAGCAGACCGCCCGGGGGTTCATGGCCCCTCAGCACAGAGGCTCGGGCCCCGGGAGCACCCTGCTCAGCCCTCTGTGTGCAGGGAGCTGGCCGGTCTTCCTGGCTGGGCCTGCCGCCTCCACCCAGGCACAGGCCTCGAGGCCGCTCCTGGGGTCCCAGGTGCTTTCCCAGCCAGGCCTGCCACAGCGGCCCCCGCTCCCTGTGGGGACGCTGCCAAGCCCCCCAGCAGTTGTGAGTAGAGTCCAAGATCCTCGGGCCCCTGGGAAGGCGGTGAGGGGAGGTGCAGCCTCATCCAGGGCCTAGGAGCTGGCCTGGGTCTGCCCCACCCCTGCACCCCTGTCGGCACCATCAGAGCCCCCAGCTCTGGGGGCACAACTTGCATCAGCAGTTGGGGCAGGGGCTCCCCGCCCCGCTCCGGGGCCAGGGCCTCCTCCCTCTGCTGACACCTGCTGTGCTCGTGCTGGTCCTCAGGTGGAGTGCAACTCCAAACTGGACCCGACCACCACGACCTTCCTGAAGGTGAGACCCTCCTCCCCGGCCCTGGGCCAGCTCCCCAAACCGTGGGCCTGGTCCCCAGAGGGGCCTGCCCAGGGTCCCAGCTGGGGGGTCGTATGTCTGGTCAGCGGGCCTGTCCAGGTGTGAGGGCCTGGCAAGGGGCGGGACAACCCCTGCCCCGCTCACCCCCCTCTCTCCCCTGCAGATGGCAGATTCCGGGGGGCTCCCCCAGGTCACACAGGTGAGAGACTCCTAGCCCTCCCTCCCTTACCTAGCCTGGGCTGGGGGAAGCCTCCTCCCCTCCGCAGCCTTAAACAGCCAGTCAAAGCCTGTGTCTGTCCCTCCTTCCCGCAGCCGGGGAAGCTGACCGAAGCTTTCAAGTACTTCTTGCAAGGCATGGGCTACAGTAAGTACACCGTCCCCCCAGCGCCTGGTGACAGGCAGCACGAGGGGGTGGGGACGGGGGCTGGCACCGGTCAGCTGTTGCTGAGCAGCCTGTGGGAGGACAGGCTCTGTGGGGCTGCAGACCTGGACGCTGGGTCACTCTCGCCACATGGTCCCCCTGCGGCCGGGGACGCACAAAAGCCTGCTACCCACGCAGTAAGCTGGTCGGCCCAGGCCGGCCCTGCTCTCCCGGGCCCTGGGGAGCCTCTGGGGCACCGTGACACAGCTGGGCCTATTCGGATGCGGGGCTCTTCTCCCAGCCCTGGGGGGACCAGGGTGCAGGCTGGGTCCTGCAGGGGGAGGCTGCCTGAGGGTGTCTTATACATGCCACTGGACCCTGCCGGGCCTCCAGCGCCTGAGAAGGGCTTTTGTCACAGGTGCATCGGAGGAGTGGGCTTGGGAGTCTGGGGACCGGTGACACATGTGGGGCTGCCTGGGCGTTAGGGGAGCTGAGGGCGGCTGGACTTGGGGGTGGCATTCTGAGGTCCTGGGGGTGTGAGGGCCCCGGGCAGCCTGGCCCCCGCCCTGCCCGTTTCCAGACTTCCCCTGTGCTCAGATCCAGGCCGTGCTAGTGTGTGTGCGCCTCCCCCCCCACAACACACACACCTCCCCTCCCCCAGACCTCTCCCTGGCTTTTTGTTCTCCTCAGACGGCAGCCTCTGGAGCTCTGGCCCGGCTGCGAGGACAGGTCTGTGGGGGAAGGCAGGCAAGGCACACCCAGGAATAGCTCTCCCTCTGGCCCCCAGGGGCCTGCCACCTCTCTGTGCAGAAGTAGGGCGAGGAGGCCAAGGCTGGCCGCGCGGTTGAGCAACCGGAGAAGTCCCGCCGGCAGCCCAGGAGCTGGGAGGGGCTTGGGAGGTTGTGCAGGCGCCCCCCCCCCCCGCCACCAACCCGCAGCTCTGTATCCGGGGGACTGAGGCCCAGCTGAACGGTGCAGGTGCTGGGCAAGGACATGGACGTCAGCACCTCAGTGCCACCGCCCAGCTGGAGAGCTCGGGGGGGCGGGGGTGGCCAGAGAAGCGCCCCCAGCCTGCTGCCGGGGCTCCCAGGGCCAGGTTGAGATCAGCCTGTGCTGTGTGGTGCCTTCCGTGGCTGCTGCTGCTGCGTGGTGGGTGGGCAGGAGTCTGGCCCTGCCCCCAGCCCCTGGTACCTGTCCTTGGATCTTATCTCTGATCCATCTCCACACCCCGGCCTCACTGTCACTGTGTTCTGTCTCCCCCACCCCCGCCTCTCCCTGGCTCTGTCTTCTCTCTCAGTTGCGTACTTGAAGGACCGAAGGCTGAGCGGAGGAGCAGGTAGCCCTGCAGCCCCGCCCCTGATGCATGGACCCCGCCCCCAGGCTCGCCCCGCCCTCCCCTCTGTGCTGTGCGGAGTCGGACCACACCTCGCTGTGGTTGGGAACCTTCTCCGGTCCTGCTTTCCCTCCAGAGCCCCGAGTCCTGCTCGTCCGCAGCTCCTGGGCCGCGTGGGCTTTGTCCCTTTTTAGGGCTGTCGATTGGCTGGGCTTTAGGGCCGTCGTGCTTCTAGGTTGCCCTGGGCTGTGTGGCTTCCAGAGCTCGGGCCGGTGGAACCAGACCCAGAGGTTGAGCCCAGCTCAGCCCCGGGGTGGGGGGGTGGGGAGGGGCACCCTGCCGTGCCTGAGCAGGCCAGGTGGCCGGCTGAGTTCAGAGGGGCTGAGCCTTGCTTGTGAAACTCTGGATGAGGGCAGAGACGGCGTTTGGGGCAGTACGAGGCCGCCGCAGCTTGTCCTCCTGCACAGACGTCACCCCACTCCCCAGCCCCACCCTCCTCTCGAGACAGGCATCGCTGACATCGTGAGCCATCCTTACACCAGCTCTGGGAGACCCCGCCAACTCCCACCCACCCCGCCCTGGCCGTAGCTCTGGCCCGCTGTGGTGAGAGGGTCCTGCTGGTGCCCTGGGCCCCGGCCCTTCGGCTCCCTCACTGTCGCTGAGTTGCATGCCTTGGGCTTGACAGAGCAGACGCCACAGCCCCGGCCCGGGCCCGGGCCCCCTGTGCCGTTGGAAGAACGAGTCTCGCTGGCCGCTTTGCTTGCGTGAATCCTCCCGCTTGCCGGTGCCCGGCCCTGCCTGCCGGCCCTCACGCCGGGCCCCTCTTCTGCCCACAGTGCCCTCGGCCAGCATGACCCGTCTCGCCCGCTCCCGGACGGCGTCCCTCACCAGTGCCAGCTCGGTGGACGGCAGCCGCCCGCAGGCCTGCACCCACTCGGAGAGCAGCGAGGGGCTGGGCCAGGTCAACCACACTATGGAGGTGTCCTGCTGAAGCCCTCGGTCCCCCGACGCCGCCCACGTGCCCCCCGCCCTCATCGAAGTCCCACTGCCACCCCCGCACCGGCTCCTTTTCTCTTTTGTTTATTTCCGTGAGGGCGAAGGGGAGGAAATGGGGCTACGTCTCTTACGTGCTACCGCAGAGCAGTCTCCAGAGGGCCCCCACCCCCCGCCTCACTCACCTTGTCGACTTGGCTCGCCTGGACTCCTCCCTCCCAACTCCCCACCGCCCGGGCAGGAAGGGGCTCCGCCAAGGAAAGACTGAGTCCCTCCCTGGCCCGGGTCCAGGGTAATATCCTGGATTAAAGAAAGAGCGTGGGGTGACCCCCGCGGGCAGGCAGGTGTGGGGGTGGGGTGGGGTTGTGAGGGGATGGGTGCAGGAGCGGGGTGCAGCTCAGGCACTGGCCTGGGAGCAGCCCTGGAGCTCCGCGGGGCTCCCCACCTGCCCAGCCCCTCCACCAAGCACATGTGTTTCTGTCTTGTAGCACAGGTGACAATCACCCCAACAGTAGCCACACGGGGGCGCTCCTACCAGGCCGCTGTTTTGCCTGTGCTGTTGGGGCCTGACAGGCAGGGGCTGAAGGTTTCTCTGTCCAAGGGAAACAAAGCAGAGGACCCCGAGGGCCAGAACCCCACAGACGGTGTCTTCCGGGTCACGCACTCTGCCACCTCCTGGCCCTGTGCCGTTTCTGAGCCGAGGCCCTGAAGCAGAAAGTCTCCTGGTCTTCCATCTCCATAGGAACCTGACTTGGGGGCTGAGGCTAAGGCTGGGATGGCCAGTGAGGAGGATTGGGTGTCCCCCTGAGAACTTCACGCAGTCGGCCTGTGGGAGCCAGCCTGTGGCCACAGGCAGCAGCAGCGGCCGAAAGTCCCGACAGATCCCTTTGTGCCCCCAGGTTCCGTAGAGGACAATATGGCCAAGACCGCCAGCAACATGCGGTCCCTAGGGAGAGTCCCGTGCCAGCCCTTCCCCTCGGCATCCCTGCGGCAGAGGAGAGGGTTGGTTTGGAGCAGGCAGGCCCAGGGGAGCGAGACTTCTGCATGCCCTTCACCATCTCAGCCCGTCCGAGTGCTTGGGCTGGGGCTCGCCGGACCCCAGGGCAGGAGGTGAGGCTTCCTGGGGTGAACAAGGGCCAGGTGGAGGAGGGAGGCTCCCACACGCCCAGCCCCCTCCTGCCCCGACACCCGGGACAGTGCCACGTGTCCCCCCACCCACACCAGAAGCCATTGGTCCGAGAGCCTCCATCAGTGGCCATAAGCCCCACAACAACTCGAGGGGGGAGGAAGCTATGAAAGTGGGGGGCTGGGAGGTGTGTATGTGGGGGGTGCTCTGAGCTGGGAGGACACCTGCATCCACGTTCCCTCTGCACACATACGAGCCCCCGCCCTCCTAATCTTAAGCCATTGCCAGATTGCTCTCGAGCCTGGTGGGGTGTTAGTCTGTCCCCAGTTCTGTCCACTCACGTGCTCCCCTTGAATATCGAACGTGACTGTTTGCGAAGCTGGTAGACTTAATCCCTCTTACTGTAGATAACGCTGCAAGTTGGAGTTCTTTTTTTGTTGTTGCTGTGTTCTTTCAGATGATATATCTATAAATATCTATACATTATATATATATATGTATATTGGGTTCCTCCTGTGTGTGGTTTTTCCATTGGAGGTTGTCTTCTTTGGTCAAAGTGAACTTTTAATGGAGTTTATTATTTTTCCTCTCTGTACAGTGAAGAGCCTAATTTTGTGTATTCTAGTGGCCGATGTCATGAGACTCAGAAATGACAAACCGTAAGACAAATAAAAAACCCTTGTCAACGTAGAAGGCGTTAACTGTGCTGAAAAAACGAATAAAGACACAGAAGAATTTGAGTCAAGTGATGTCATGCCCCCTGGGGAGGCTTTCGGAGACACAGGGTCCAGGCTGGCGAGGCTGGTGCTGCTTGGATGTAGGTGCAGAGTGAGGGCAGGCGTATCCATCCACCTCCGCGTTTCCACCTCTGGTCCCGTACGTGGTCCTGCCACTCCTTACATTAATTCCACAGGCTAGATGGTCACCGTTTCAGTTTCACAGCCTCGGAAACAGCCTCGGGGTGAGGGGTTTGCCCAAAGAAAGCCAAGTGGGGAGCTGGCCTTGGCATTGTTTGACTTCACCACACAAGCCTGTAACTTGTATATTCACTGCCTCAGTTTTTTCTACCTTTTTAATCCTCACCTGAGGATATGTTCATTGATTTGAGAAACAGAGAAAAACACGGATTGGTTGCCTCCACGGGCACCCCCAACTGGGGATCGCACCTGCAACCTAGGTATGTGCCCTGACTGAGGATCTAACCTGCAGACCCTTCTGGCGTATGGGAGGATGCTCCAACCGCACCAGCCGCCTAGCCAGGGCACTCACTGCCTCATTTTCTTAAGTTTAACGGCAGCTACTGCCTTCCCCACGTTTAAACGCTTCTGATTCACTCAGCCATTTACCCAGTTGAGTTTCTGCGGTGTCAGCTAATAAAGCAATTAACTAAAACCCACGATGTGCTTGCTGTGCATTAAATGAAAATGGATACACTAGCCAGTGTGACAGAGGTGTTACAGAATGCCAGCATATGGAATTCTAAAACACGTGTGTGGGCTTGACTGCCTGCCAATACTCCCAATGCCAGAGTTCGGTAAAAAGGAAAGGAACTGTTTATTTAGAAGTTACACAGATTCACTGTATTTTGCCATGTATATTGCACACCCACGTTTTTTGCCCAAACTTTAAGGGAAATTTTTTTTTTAATTTTTAATGCATTTATATTTAGATACTTGTTTTTTGTATTATAAAAGAATTTTTGCATTTATTTTTGAACATTATGATACAAGAAATTGTATGTAAATTACAAAACAAAAGAACAGATACAAGGTACAAGAAATTTTATGTGCTGGTTACAAATTAGTACTACCCATGTATAATGCTCATCCTTATTTTCCTCTCAAAAATTTGGGCAAAAAGTGCACATTATACACTGCAAAATATAGTAGGATAATGGCAGGATTCTGCCATTAAGTCCCAGTCCCTTTCAAAAATACACACACACACACACACGCCTCCCTTTTGTCAAATCAGGCCAGTTTTCAGAATGTGCCAGTCAGAGCTCAGCATCCCCCTGGTCTCAGTTCGGAGATCAACTTTTTTAAAAGAAGGCGGCAGGCGGGCGCCCACCTGGGCGTGCTCCCAACCGCAGTCGCACTACCCCGAGGTCTCAGCTGTCGAGAACAAACCAGGCTTGAGGTGACATGGGGACATACCTTCAGGCATCCGACCGCACGTTTTCTAAGCCCAAGTGGGGGCACCCAGACTCGCAGAAGAATCGTACCACGTACAGATCCCTACTCGTCTTCCGCGTGGGCTTTGACACGAGCTCCAACGGGTCTGCGTGGAGGGTGGGGCTATAGGCCCCGCCTCGGGGTGGGGCCGGGGCCGCCGGAAGCGTCGTGCGGCTCTACGCGCCGAGCCGCGCGCCCTGCGACCATGGCGGGTCAGGCAAAGCGCCGGCGGGTGAGTCGTGCGCGCCGGGCCGAAGCCCACCTCTCTGCCCAGCCCCTCGCGCCGCTCCGCTCGGAGTGCGTCTGGCGCAGGGGCCTCCTTCACTTCCTCGTTCCCGCAGGACCTTCGCGACTGTCGGTCCCATCCCCCACCCAGAGCCCTTCCTCCGTGCGTGCGCTCCGGGGTGGGGCCTAGCCAGTGAGCTCGGGTTGTCTTAGGTAACCAGGCCTGTGGGCGGCGGCGACGACAACGACCTGGACGCGAACGCGGACCCGGTGGCCGGCTTCCTGAGCTGGTGCCGGCGCGTGGGGCTGGACCTGAGTTCTAAAGTGAGTGAGAGTCGGGGCGGGAGACGGGGGCCTGCGCGGGCCAGCTCTGATCCTCTGCTCCCCAACCCCCGCGGTCCCTACTTAGGTGGCGGTGAGCCGGCAGGGCACGGTGGCCGGCTACGGCATGGTGGCCCGGGAGAGCATACAACCGGGGGAACTGCTGTTCGCGGTGCCGCGGGCCGCGCTCCTGTCGCAGTACACCTGCTCGATCAGCGGCCTGCTGGAGCGAGGTGGGCTCACCGGCGGGGGTGGGCCACCCAGGCGGGCTCGCGGGCCGCGCGGGGGCTTTCACTGCTGTCTCCCCCAGAGCGAGGCGCACTTCAGAGCCAGTCGGGCTGGGTGCCACTGCTGCTGGCGCTGCTCCACGAGCTGCAGGCCCCGGCCTCACCCTGGAGTCCCTACTTCGCGCTCTGGCCGGATTTGGGCCGCTTGGAGCACCCCATGTTCTGGTGAGAGCCGTAGGGGGCGCTGGGGAGCGCCGGTGCTCTGTAGCCTGGCTGAAACCGCCCGGGCCCGGGCACAGGCACAGGGCTGCCTCCCGAGCACTGGTCCCTGGAGGGTGTGTGAAGGAAATCTTGGCGGGGTGTCCCTGCAGGCCCGAGGAGGAGCGCCGGCGGTTGCTGCAAGGCACAGGGGTACCCGAGGCGGTGGAGAAGGATTTGGCCAACATCCGCAGCGAGTACTACTCCGTCGTTCTGCCCTTCATGGAAGCCCACCCTGGCCTGTTCAGCCCCAGGGTTCGCTCCCTGGAGCTCTACCACCAGCTTGTGGCCCTCGTGATGGCCTACAGGTCAGTGAGCAGAGCTTCCGAAACCCCTTTTCCTTAGAGCTCTACTGAGGGACAAGACGGAAGAACAAGGAACGCCACCCCCAGCCTCTCACCCAACACTGGACTGTAGCCAGATTCTTTCTGGTAGCTTTCAGGAACCACTGGAGGAGGATGATGATGAAAAGGAGCCAAACCCCCCTTTGATGGTGCCTGCTGCAGACATCCTAAACCACTTAGCTAAGCACAATGCCAATCTAGAATACTCCCCGGTGAGTGGACCCCTCCCACTTCTTGTTGTGCATTGGTGGCTGCGAGTGCCTGTCACTTACGCACTTGGTAATTGGGCTAAATGGGCTCCAATTCCTTGTCCTAAAAAGGTGAAGCTAGTGCCTCCTGTTTGTATTTGGATAGTCCAGTGAAGTCAGCTCTTCATAGGCACTCATTTGCATGTTCCAGTGAAGTCGTTTGAGCACAAAACATCTCCCAGCCCTCAAAGTTGTGGTTAACCCCCTGATGAACTCGACTACCATCGCTTACTTGGTGCTGGAGGTCGGCTGCTCTGCACAACGCCAGGGCTCCTCTGGGGTGCGGGTCTGGGGTTCTGGCACCAGGGCTAGTTATGTCAGTTCTGTTCCTGTGCGGACAGTTACTGTTGGGGGTGAGCACGAATCAGTCCCATCACTGAACTAAACCTGCTGGAGGGTCTTCCTGAGAGGGGAGGAGCCACGTGACTGGTCTGGGAAGGGCCTGGTCCCAGCTTCTCCCTTCCACTCCAGAATTGTCTTCGGATGGTGGCTACTCAGCCCATTCCTAAAGGCCATGAAATTTTCAACACTTACGGGAAAATGGCTAATTGGCAGCTGATTCATATGTACGGTTTTGTTGAACCATACCCTGACAACACAGATGACACAGCTGACATTCAGATGGTGACAGTTCGTGAGGCAGCTTTACAGGGTGAGTGATTAACTCAATCTCGGGCACTTGGATGTGCATTTGCCGCCCCCCCCCCCCCCAGGTGCTCTGCTGAACAGCAGCTGGTTTTTGTAGACTAGGTGGCAGGATGAGGCGAGCTCTTCGGCACACAGACTTCACAGTATTCCTTTCCTGTCTGCAGGAACAAAAGGGGAAGCTGAAAGGCTTCTGCTGCAGGAGCGCTGGGATTACTTATGCAGCCTGGAGATGGTAGGGGAGGAGGGAGCCTTTGTGATTGGGCGGGAAGAGGTGCTGACTGAAGAGGAACTGACTACCACACTCAAGGTAAAGGGCTGAAAATGGCCACTTAATGCGGAAAGCGGGCCTGCGCATTTGGTTGGCCAGAAAGTGGTTTTTTCCCCTTTTATGGCTCCAGTAGTGCTTGCTTGTATTTAACTTCATTTGCAACAATTTCGTTAAGATTGTATTGTGACAGCTGTTACATCAATGTGCATTTAAAAAAACTTACATTTTTGTGCAGCCATTTTAATATTAAAACTGGAACATATGCAACATTTTCAACATATGTTCTATTATTTCAAGAAGGTAAAAAACGCAACTGAAAACGCAAAAACAAGATCTGTGCAGTGTGTGGAGAAGGTGGTTTGCAGAGTTTCTTTGTATTGTTGACATTTTGGCCAAGTGATTCTTTGCAGTGGGGCTGTCTGACACATTGGAAGATGTTTAGTAGCACCCCTGGCCTCTATCCACTAGAAGCCAGTAACAAGAGATAGCCGACATCGTCAAAAATATTCAAATCCATAAAGTTATTGGTGAAAATGAAAATGTGCCTTCTATGGAAAAAATGTAATGGACTTTCTAGCCAACCCGGTGTTTAGGAGCTAAGGCCAGGTGAGGAAGCAGCGTGGATGAAGGGAAGAGGAAACTTCAGTGCTGCCAAGACAGGCTAGCTTCTCTGCACGGATTTCAGAAACATTCCAGTTAAGGATGCTGTTGTTGTTTCTAGGTGCTGTGCATGCCTGCTGAGGAGTTCAGAGAGGTTAAAGACCAGGACGGATGGGGAGATGAGGAAAGGGAAGAGGACAGCCTGACAATCACAAACATCCCCAAGCTCAAAGAATCCTGGAGGCAGCTGCTACGGGACAGTGTTCTGTTGACCCTGCAAACCTATGCCACAGACTTAAAAACTGAGCAAGATTTACTCAGTAATGAGGAGGTGTACACCAAACTCAGCTGGAGGGAACGACAGGCCTTACAGGTTCGCTACGGCCAGAAGATGATCTTACACCAGTTGCTGGAACTGACAAGTTAAGCTAAATTCCCTGTGCCTGGATCATCCATGAGACATCCATGAGGAGAACTTGATTCTAATCTGATATTCATTGATGCTCAAAAAGGAGGAAATTCTGGATCTTTAGATTTGCTTCTTTCTTATTAAATACCAGAAGAAAAAGGAACAAAAGTGTCTAAAATGAACTCGGAGGTAAGGGGACACGTTTAAGGGTTGGGGACAGCACACTTGGGGATTGCTGATTGTCACCAAAACTAATACCTGCTTTTTAAATTATTACCATTGTTGTCATTTAAAAACATTTATTTTTTTAAATCAGTATTTTATAGCTGTTTTGTTTTCAGTTTGCATCAAGGTTAGCAGCAATGTGACTCGGATCGTAAAAGGTCTTATTGTCATCTAGTGTTTGATAGCATGGACTTTGAAAGGAGACTTGGCGCTTTACTTTCTTTAAAACAAACTTTGTTTCCCTCCTGTTAGAGGATGGAGTAAGTAAGCCATGCCACTGGCACTTAGGGCATCTGTTCTAACCCCTCAGCAGTCTGAAGTCTGCTCTAGGTGGCACCCCTCTCCTGCAGGGAAGGAAGCGCACGACACCAGTGACATTAAAGCCTCACTTCATGTGATATATTCTGTTTAACCCTGGACATTTGTCCTCTCTGGCTATAAACCCTGACAGCCATTAAAGGTGTGAAGTATATTGTAAGTGGGATAAGCTTTAAATATATACCTATTCCTTTTTTTTTAAAAAATAGAGGGCATTTTGTAACTGTTAGAGCAGGTTTCTATGGTTAATTTTCTGCTGTTGAAAAGAAACAGGAAAACACTACGTAAAAAAAAAAAAAATCACTTGTTTGAACATGCCAGATGTCCAAAAGTAGTGGGAAAGATCTACCATTCAGCAAGAAGCTGGTGGTTCCCAAAGACCTCGGGCTTTGCAGGGGTGGGCTGTCCACTTTCCTCCTCACCTCCAGCACTGGCTGCTGCTACTGAGAAAAGGCACAGTGGACTCACGTGTGTGTCATGACTTTAATGTTGCATTGACTACAGTATGCATACACATACAAGAAGGAGGGGAGCTAAAGCCCAGGAACTAAAAAGGCTACAAAATACAACACGGACCAATACATTTACAAAACACTCAAAATCCTTACAAAAGGGACTGACAGTATTGGTCCTTTTGACTTTTTGTTGGTATTCATTCAACTTAGCCTGGGATAAAAGGGGAGGGCAGTTCATACTATTGGTTCCCTTTCCTCAGTTTACAGTTAACAGGAGAGATGGGGGAGCTTCAGGCCTGCTCTGGTTTCCCTTTATAAAAAGGGGATGCTCTCCAGCAGAAAATGAGAAAATGGTGCTTTCCAGCAGTTAGCTTTAAATTTGGAGAAGGGACAAAGCAAAACCCTGTGGGATCGTAACTGTGGGCTCTTTCCAGGTTCTCTGGTATATTAAACTCTACCACATCCACAATTCAACAACTCAGTAATTTTCAAGGTCCCCTGTCCACATTAAAAAAATAAGTTACATAATATTTAAACTGGCCTTTTTTTTTTTTTTTTGCTACTTCTTTGGGACACCGGGAATGTCAGAAGACATGGAGCTATGTCCCCAGACGAGTGCACGGCAGCAGCAGCTTCTTCAATTATAAGCTGGGCAGGTACCAGTTTATGTACTTGCCTTGGACTTATTTTGCACAAACCCAAGAAGTTCCAGACAAAGGTTTTCTCTGTCATATATTTACACAAGTTCAAAATGATATTCACAGCATTTTCTAAATTTTGGCCAAGAGTCAAAAAATGCATTTAAACTTTGGAACGTGCCCACAGAGACTGGAAACTGACCCAAACAGTATTGGGGCAGGTACCCGAGAACCAAAGGGCTGGGGAAATCGGAAGAGCTGAACCGGTTCCTCAGCCAGTTTATGAACGTGGTGCTCTGGGACAGCCAGGCTGACAGTTCACAACGGAGATGCGGCTCCATCTAACTGGCACCCGTCCCTTCCATAACTTGCTGAGCCTGTTTCTGTCCCATGCAGCACTGTGCGACCGACTGGAACAACCTGAAGGAGGAGAGAGTGCAAGTCTGTGAAAGAAGTTCAGGCCTGATAATATTTTGTATCTCATTAGCTTTAACAACTACTGCCTTTTTAGTGATCCACCCAGGCTGGAGCCATCAAATGATCCTTATCCTGTCTCATTCTTAAGACAATTAAAAAAAAATTACTTTTAACTTACTTTTCAATTTCTGGGGCACAGTGTACAAACTCATGGTTCCAGAACTTAAATGCTGGATTTTTAATCAGCTCAATGAAGGTAATAAGCAGACCCCAAGGATGTGGCCTATTTACAATCAACCGTTCCAAGAGAACCCTGGAGAAGGAGAGAGTTAGTTAATATACAGAGAAACACAGATTCAGGACCACTTTTACAATACTTACTGCTGACTAACTCTTCTGATTATTAAACCACATGTAAAAGTTACTGGCTTTACTAAAGACTAGTAGATCAATCTCTGTACTCTATACTGCACAGGCAATGCAGGGAGAATCTGGAGTTAGGAAACCTAGCTTTGAGTCCTACCTATTCCCCTGAGCCTGAGAGACTAAGTTACGGTCAAGTAAGGACAAGATCGGATTACATAGTGCAAGAAAGTAATCAAAGAATGCATTCAGCCCTGGCTAGTGTGCCTCAGTGGATTGAGTGCCGCTGGCCTGGGAACCAAAGAGTCGCCAGTTCAATTCCCAGTCAGGGCTCATACTTGGGTTGCAGGCCAGGTCCCCAGTAGGGGGCGCATGAGAGGCAACCACACTTGATGTTTCTCTCCCTCCCTTTCTAAAAATATATATTTTTTAAAAGAATACATTCAATTTATGGAAATAAATCCTAATACCACTAGTACATGTATAAACTGGTACTTTTTTTGAATGGCAATTTAGTATTGGCTTAAATATTCGTATCTTTTACCTAACCAACTATATTTCTCAAGAAAGTTCAAGGAAGTTTATTACAGCTTTATAAATAATCACAAGACAAGACATTATCACTACTTAATTTCCAGTATATAAATGTACCGGACTACTGTTATCTAATACCCACAAACTACTATTAAGTGAAGGGGCAAGTTTTAAAAGTCTGGTCCAGTTTGTAAAGTACATGCATCTATACCTCTCACTAGAATCAACCCATTTCTCAATCTCCAGTGCTGTATATTGTCCAAGCGATATGCAAAAGATTCCTAACTATTGTCAGGAAAACACAAGTATGATCTTTGTGTATTCTTTCTGCTGCTTAAAAACCTTTTAACCTAGAGGTAATAAAGAATTCCACACGCTTTAACATGGGCTTTAATAGGCCCGTGTGACTCAGGACTCTGGTTAAAAGTTACACTGCCACCAACACATGAGCTTAAAAATGTTGGTGTCTTGTTGCAAACTACTTTTTATTTCAGCAATGATTATTACCTGTAACTGCATGTCATTCATTGTTCACAACCACATCCCATATTAAACACATATAAAAGATGCTCAGAGAATTCATAATAAATGGGCTGAGGCACAACTTAGAAGCATCTGAAAAATAAACCTCTTACCTTGTGATCTGTTCTTGGATAGCTTCAGTGTTGGCTTCTGCAAAAAGGTATAGCATGGTGCAGCTGAAGTAGTGAGTGTGGCTATTTGGGTACCGCAGCTGATTTGCTATTGCATTTAAGAAGAGATATCGACCTACAAATCAAGAAAATCCAGCTTAGTGAGGACTTAGTCTATAAGGCCAAGATAAGAAGACAAATCATTCTGACTGGTTAGGATTTAGATTTCTACTACAGGTTTTTAAATTATCCTACAGCTCTGAGGCCCCCAAGAGTTTTTATTTCTGTGCGTTTTATTTCAGTATTTCCATATTAAAAAGTGCCCCCCCAAAAGACTCAACTCAGTGAAGCATGTCACTATTTTAATTCTCTAATCTCTTTATTGTCACTTAATAGAAAACAGCTGGTCATTCCTGCCTTTGTCCAATCTACTGCAGTATTACATTTCATGTAGCCTCTGGAAAACTCCATACATTCATTACAACATGTGTGCAAAAAGGCCAAGATATTATGAAAATAGTTTTGACCTCACAGCCCTTCTAAAAAGGGTCTTGAACTGCACGCCAAGGGTTCTCAGACCACACTCTGAGAACCACTAGTTTAAACTGTATTGGAATGAGTATTAACTTGGCTCCGGTGTCTGCCTCTTCTCAGTATTCCTCATGTTTAACGTGTCCCTAAAGACTACTCTCTTTTTGCTGGGTTCTGGACATGACATTCAATTTTATTAAATCTTGATTTTAAGCTGACTCAAATCTCTTCTACAAACAGGCTAACAGTATATACATATTCAAAATTAACTAGCTTCTCAAGAACCCAAAGCAAAATTAACAATAGGTAGGCATCCTTCTGAAGTGTATGTGTGCTAAGGTGAGGACTGTAGAGTTGGTGAGTACCTAGTGGGTCTCTATTGTGTAAGAATATAGAACACCAAGAGAAATGTAGTTCACAGACAACCTAGAATAAAATTATATTGTCAGCTTTTTGCAAAACAAGTAGGAAAAGTCCCATCCAGTCAAGTTTATACACCTAATATTAACATGCTGCCTGCCAAGTAAGCACCACTAAGTGCTAGGGAAAAGGCAGGCTAATAAAACAATGTAACATAACACTATTTTTAAAGAGAGGCTAATAAAAGGAACACATTTATTTTGCACACTAAAAAAGTACTGCAGTGACATACACTGGAATATTAACTGATGTGGTAAGCACTCTGGATGGTTCTTTCCTTTATGCTTTTCTGCATCGAGCAGATACTATCTAACTAAAAATAGCCAGGAAGACCCATAAACATTGACAGAACCTTCTTTCTCTCTTGTGGCTTAATGTCTTTTTTATGACTGGACTGTGATATAAAGTGCAGAGAACTTGACTCTGAGTAGAGGCTGGCTTGACCCACCTTCAGTGTCCAAGTCCACAGCCAGGTTCTGGAATATGTCCATGTGAGCGGAGTGGGTGATGGTGCTCATTGAAGGTGTGCTGCCCTTGTTGTGGATGTGCGCGATGGCCTGAGTCCCGACATAGAGCACCAGTGCGTTGATGAGCTGCAGGTTGTAGCGATTGCCAGGCTCATTGGATACCTAAATGAACACAACAGAGCTCCCGACTTACTCTCACAGGGGGTTAATTCGGGCATTAGTATCTCTCAACCCTTTTCTAGGCCTTCGTAGAAGAGCTGAACTGCTCTCAACATTCTGTGTAATTTAAATTTTAGATAAACTGCCTTGAGTTTGTTGAGGTTATTTAACAAATACACACACAAGAAAACAACAAATACCATTTCCCTTGGGAAACCAAAAACCTAAACAGGTACTAGCACAAAAGTAAAGTTTATAAAGGGGGGATGGGGGAAGAACTATCTATATGAAAGATCTGTAAAGGGAAAAGGCTGTGTTTCCTAGATGTGAAACTACTGGGAAGATAATACAACCTAATCTCAAGTCATTTTCTATACGGCAAGTTAAACCCATTTCTTTAGAAAAATCCCTGGAGTACTGGCTGGGAATAGTTACTAACAGTCTAGTCTCTTACAGAAAATCAGTCCATTCCTTGGTCACCTCTTCCAAGTGTCACTGATAAGATGATGTATAATGTAGTTAATCGCACCCAACCTTTAAGAAAGACTGGAGTGCTGAACACATAATACAATATACAATGATATATTATAAAGTTGTACACCTGAAACTTGTAATTTATTAACCAATGTCACCCTAATAAATTCAATACATTAAAAAAACCGACAGTATGTATTAAAATCTTTTAATCAAGTTAAAAAGATTGACTCCCAAACATGCTACACATAAGGACTACGCATACAAAGTGCTCTCTATGTAAGACATAGCTGAGAATTAGCCAAACCAACTGACCTGTAGGTTGCTGCGCAGATCAGATAGAAAAGTGACCGGTGACCGAGTTTTAAGATAGGAATCCAAATCCTTTTTAAACTGAGGTGGCATCACTCCAGTAAAATTGGTGAGAATCCGGGGTGCAATGTTTATTTCACTCAACATATCCACCTGCCACAGACAAATACAAGAACTGCAACCAGAGCATTTGTAAGAGTTAACAACAAACTGTATCAATGCCAGAAAGTGGTAGAATTGCTTTTCTAAAACCATACACATCGTAAGTATCTTCAAGAGTAGAGCTGCTACTTTAATTTGAACATTTCACCTAAAATGTCATATGGTGTGTGGTACTGTTACAGAATTACAGCTTATGATTTTGTAATAAAAAGGGTGTTAGGGCGTTACTTGCGCTTACTCACTCACCAAAGCACTAGTCTTGGAAAAGACATCCCAGAAGAATAAACATCATCATACTTGTTAATTTTTAAAAACATTCATGTGAAAGGTTAAAAAAAAGTAGAAAATACGTAAAAATGACAGTGCCCATGCCAGGGTAGTGTGATTTTAAGCGGCCCCTTTTCTCCCTTCAACAATTTAAACAAAACAGCTGTGAAATGTTGACATTACAAATGTCTGTCTGTTTTGGCCCTGGCTGGTAGCACAGTTGGTTAGAGCATCGTCCCAATTTGTCAAGGCTGTGCGTTCAATCCTCGATCAGGGCACATACAAGAATCAACCAATAAATTCATAAGTAAATGGAATAATAAATTGATGTTTCTCTCCCTCCCTCTC